GGACTGATACAACATTTAGGAAAACACGCTGGCCTCGTTTTAACTCGTAAAAAAAACTTCCGGAAAACTACGGAGTCCGTCACGCGGACATTTTTAAGAGATCGTCTCTCATCTCACTGCTGCTGCTCGCATGCAGCGCTTGTTTTATTGATCTGCGCACCTGAAGATTAGTAAAGTCAAGGTAAGCTAAATTCTTAGTAACATTTGTGCAGCAGTGCCCGCATCAGACAGAATGATGTTTTGCTCTTAGCAGTAGTTTATGAGTCAGACGAACAGTTGGGAAAATGCTCCGTGTTCTCTCTACTCTAAACAGTCAAACAACGTGTCAGTGTTAAAGCAACAGTAACGCTCCTAAAATGTTCTTATAATTTTCTAAACAATTTTTCTGAGACAAGTGACTGTCTATGCGTTATGCGCATTACTATAATTCAGTGGTGGTGTGTCGAAGCAGTCATCAGCTGTTCGGAGCTAAAGGGGCGAATGTTTACATTCAGGGCCAGTGAGGAACGAGGACGATGTGATCAGGCCGCAGACCTGGAGACCCGCATACGCTGCTGCAGGTGTGAATCTGCAGGTCCGCTGCTGTACCCTTCCTGATGTGAGAGCAGGACATCCATTTAAGGAATGTCAGCTCACCTGTTCACTGCTCAGACGTCAGATAAATTATTTGGTCACCAATTCCTTACTGTGTCTACCCAGCTTCAGCATTCCTTGTCTGGGTCTGACCCAAGTTAGTAAATTTAAGTCCTCCATCAGATTTGTGCCTGTTCTAGTGTCATCTATAAGGATTTTTAATGATAGATGATATATGCTTTTACTGGATAATGAGTAATTAAAATGCTAATAAACATTCAATTATACATAAAATTGAAACTGAAAAAAATTGAGTATGGTGCAAAAGTCTATTTATTTCAGTAATTCAACAAGACTGAGAGACTATTTAAAGTCTGACGAACCCTTTGCAGGTGTTTTCTATTTGCAGATATGAACTTCAGTTGGTTGTGGTTTGATTCATATAACACAATGACATTTGAATAATTAAAAAATTTAAGAGCTTGAGTTTACAAAAATAACATCCATATCTCATTATTTTTAATAATAGTTTGGTGGCAACTTTTCATGAATGATTAAAATTTGATAAAGATTAATTGCAAGGCCTCCAATTAATTTGATAATTTTTAATTAAGTCCCACCACTAATATTGTGTGTGTGTGTGTGTGTGTGTGTATATGTATATATATATATATATATATATATATATATATTGGGGGTGGGCCGTTATCGGCGTTAACGCGCTGCGGCAAAGCCAGACGCTTATCGCGCGATAAAAAAAATGACGCCGTTAATCTATTCTCAAAGTTGGGTTGGGATCTGGGTCTATACTAAGTAAACTATACCATACCATAGCATACCACTTTATTTATATAGCGCTTTCAACACGGCATTACAACCATACAAAGCGCTGCACAAAAAAAAAGCAAGAAAACACAAGTTAAAATAGTCAGGTAAATGGAAAATGTAAAAAGGAGCAAAGAAATAAAACAACAGACTATTAACAGTAAAAGCAAATAAAACCAGAATATAAAAACACAAAATTAAAATTGAATTGTCTAGGAGGGACAATGGATGAGCTAAGGAGTTATGGAATTAGGGATCGAATGCGTAAGTGAAGTAGAGGGTCTTCAGACGAGATTTAAAGACGGCGATAGAGGAAGCTTGCCTAACCTGCAGTGGTAATGAGTTCCATAACTTTGGGGCACAGACTGAAAAAGCCCTTTCCCCACGAGTCTTCAAACGTGCCTTAGGGACAGTTAAGAGGAGTTGATCTTCAGACCTAAGAGCACGAGGAGGGTGGTAGTAATGAAGGAGATCACACAGATAGAGAGGAGCTTGACCGTTTAAGGATTTGAACGTGAGAAGTAAAATTTTATAATTGATCCTGAATTTAACGGGCAACCAGTGAAGCGTTTTAAGAATAGGTGAGATGTGGTGTCTTCTTTCAGCTCCAGTCAAGAACCTTGCTGCAGAATTCTGAACAAGCTGAAGCCTAGACAAAGCCGCCTCACTGATACCGTACAAACAGGAGTTTGAATAATCCAACCGAGAAGTGATGAATCACAGATTGTAGAAGACGGACACTCAGGATGGACTTTAATTTTGAAATACGTCTAAGATGGTAAAAGCAGGACCTGACCGTGCTATTGACCTGAGAATCCATCTTCAGAGCAGAATCTATTCTTATTTCAAGGTTGGAAACAACAGAAGTGACATTAGGCGACAGATAGTTGAGGTCTGGTTGCTGGGCTGCTCTAAAACTAGTTGGACTAAAAACGATTACCTCTGTTTTGGAGTCGTTAAGATGTAGGAAGTTGTCAGCCAACCATTGCTTGACTTCGTGAAGACAATCGAACAGAGGTTTAGTGGAGTCTTGGGGTTTCAGTGAAAAATAAATTTGAATATCATCTGCATATAGATGGTAAGACACTGCATGCTGTTTGAGAACAGCTCCCAAGGGCAGAATATAATACAGAACAGCAACGGGCCGAGGATGGAACCTAAACTATGATGACTTTCACATTGCGCAGATGGATACCTGGTTGGCGCGGATGTATACTCGGCGCGGATCATCGTACGTATGGACGGAATCCAGGCTCGTGGAGTTTAATGTTCCCCATGCAGCCGAACAGTCGCACCGTCGCCACCAGCAGCGCTTCTCCCTTCTCATCGCGCGGGACAAGTAAATAATTTATGTACTTTAACCAGAGTTTAATCCATAAATCCGACTTTCATTCTTTTTATTTTGTTTTGTTTACCTCCGACATTTCCAGCCGGGCTTTCCCCGGGCCACACTTCACCGTCCGCGGCCGAAGCAGCGCTCGGATGTGAGAAAACAGAGACAAGACTTGCTCAGACAGGTGCGGTTTCCAACTAAGTTTAGCTCTTTTAGCAGCTGTTTATTGTGATAAAGTGATAAATTGTTTCTACAGGTCATTCTTCATGTGGCTTCGACTCAAATTTACCTGTAATAATAAACGTTTTACTCATAAATTTTTATATTTGTTTAGAAAAGTTGAGCTAGGATAACTCCCCTTGCCATTTTCAGAGACAACAACAGCAACAGTTGGCTTCTGCTCATACAGGTGAGCTGTGGCATCATTTCCAGCTCTCACTCCTATTCACCAGAGGCGATCCTACATGCAAACTAAAGGGGTGCATTGGAAGGGCACCCCAGAAATTTAACCCCCTCCCCAGGCCAGATAGTTTCTGTGTGTGTGTGTATGTATGTATGTATGTATGTATGTATGTATGTATGTGTGTGTGTGTGTGTGTGTGTGTGTGTGTATATATCTACTGTATATACTTTTTTCTTTAGCAGGCCATATTGTGTAGAAGAGAAGAACTAGTTTGTCACCAGACAATGTGAACAAGCTGGTCTGCTTGAGTGACTGGTGGAAGAAAGAGAAATAGAGCTTGGACTGATTGAAAAACGCTACTGACTGTAAATAGTTAATCATGACCTATTCTGTTGACCTACAGTGCAGAATTTGTTGAAATGAATAAACAGCTATTAAACACAAATACTTATTGATCATTATTTATTTCCATCATCAGTTATCGTAGTAAAACTGCTTTATCAGTCTGTAATGCATTACTGAAACAAGAAATACGCCTCCATTCTCAAAGACTTGCTTTTATTCATTATCTAGGTAGCACACACATATGCCTTTGGCAGAATTTGAATGAGCCATTTTAATCTAGATTAATCTAGATTAATTCCATGATTACAGTGAGATTAATCTAGATTAAAAAAATTAATCTATGCCCACCACTAATATATATATATATATATATATATATATATATATATATATATATATATATATATATATATAATTTACAAATCACGACATGTTTGGAGTGCCTCCATCACTACTCATGCAGCTGCTGACCAGGAGTGATAATACAGAGCAGTAATGTTAGATTAGATATCATTAACAACAGGTAAAGACAGGTAAAGTGGTATGACATCTTAGAGAGAATGTGTTACTATTTATAGCTTTTGTCTCTGTGTTAGTATGCTCTGTGCTGAATGGCAAGCCACTGTGCACCAGTGTAATAATGAAGATTTTACATAACAGGTCTGACAATGTTAAAAGTAGAAATATGTTTATATAAAAAGGAGAATTTAAGCTTAAGGATGTCCACCCTGCAAACACAGAGTACATTATGGTGAAGGAATAATAACACTTCCTGTGCTCAGCTTGACTTCAGTTTCAGGCTACATCACGCGTGTTATGCTCTAGGCATTGATCTTTGATGGCTCCAGCTGCTAAAAGGGAAACAGGACTGTTGGTCATGTAAAGAAACGTGAGAAGTAGGCCTGTGTGTGCTTAACCCCCAGCAACCAGAGGATGAACGAGTTTAATTAAAGCCTCGCATATTAAATGTATCACCGTTTCAACATCACTGAATAAGAAGCTCTCAGGCGGAAGATCCTTGGCAGCCACCCAAGCTGGCATTGGCTGTCTTGTCTGACATCCGAGAAGAAGCTAGAAGAAGTGTTGCTTTGACCAGCGCCAACTGCTCGGAACTACACATTTAACCAACTCGTTTCTACCCGAGCGTTTTCAAAACAAAACCGTTTCTATCGTCTTGTGTTAGAGGAAGGAAGAAAAATCAGACGGGTCCCTGAGCGGCGGCAAATGGTTAGCTACTTAGCTAGCTACTTAGCTAGCTAACGTCACAAACGTGTGATGTGTGTGTGTGTGTGTGTGTGTGGGGGGGGGGGGGTGTCTTGGTTTTACGGAGTGATTACACAACAGGACAGTGATTTAAATGAGCCGAACAGAACCAAAACAATCTCCCCGGGTTAGAACAACATAAGGTAGCAGGCATGGAAGGTATCTCCAACCCATACCCCCCCCCCCCCCCCCCCCCCATGAGTCACGACGATCCGACACGCCAGTAACGGAACTGGGACCTGAAACAGGCTCACGTACCATTCTCTTCACCGTTGAGAATCAGGAAGAGATCCACGGTGGCTTTTATCCATCTATCGGCAGTGCTCTCGGTTGGCCGTGGAAGGAAAGCCCGTTGAACGCTGAAGAGATCCGCTTCGGCTGCAGCTCCAACGGAAGGTTGCTTTTTCATAATTGTTCGACTCCAGACTGACGCAGCGTAACGAGCCGGCTGACTCAGCCAGCTCGCGGTCACGTGACCAAGGAGGGGGAGTCAGCAAACAAATGGGCGGTTTGTTTTACTTTCATCCGGACCGGCAGCATCAGAGCCACGTGGGTTCACTTTTGGTTAGACAACTTCATAAAGTTATAACTAAATAAGGTCCATTCTGGATTAGCGTGTCAATAATTACACATGACTACATATAATTACAACAATGCTGAGGGTTCATAATTTTTTAAACCTTTAACTAGATGAGTCGATTGAGAACACATTCTCATTTACAATATCTGACCAAAAGGCAGCAGCAGCAAGGGACACATAGTTAGCTTTGCATCAAAGAAAATCAGATAAGATAAAAACATACAAGATAAAACAGTTAGACATAAAGACAAATGACTGTTCTCATGCAGGTCCTTCTCAAAAATTTGCATATTGTGATAAAGTTCATTATTTTCTGTAATGTACTGATAAACATTAAACTTTCATACATATTAGATTCATTACACACAACTGAAGTAGTTCAAGCCTTTTATCGTTTATGCGTCTCTCAACTTTCAGTCAGATTCAGATTTCAGATTCAGATTTCAGATTAATTGGCCAAGTAAAATTACATTTACAAGGAATTTGTCTTCCGTAGATGTTCGCTCTCTAAAACATACAACAACCACAATAAATGAGAATAAAAATACCAAAAACACATAAGAACATGTATACCCACACACATGTTCATTTACACACACACATATATACATACCCACACACACACACACGCACACACACACACACATATCCGTAAGCATACTGAATAAGTATTAAAAACTATGATAAAAGGATGGTAAAATAATCTACAGATTCAGGAGAGAAATGGCTGAAGGAAAGAAACTGTTCTTGTGTCTGGTAGTTTTTGTGTACAGTGATCTATCGCGTCTGCCAGATGGGAGGAGATGGAAGAGAGTAGATGCAGGATGTGTGGCATCTTGGACAATATTCACTGCCTTTTTCCTGGTCCTGCTGATGTACAGTTCCTGGACAGAGGGCAGTTGGGCACCAATGATTTTTCCTGCTGTTTTAATAATACGCTGTAGTCTGCATTTGTCCATTTTTGTGGCTGACCCAAACCAGACAGTGATGGATGAGCAAAGTATGGATTCGACTGCAGCAGTGTAGAAGATGATCAGCAGCTCTTGTGGTAGGCCAAACTTCCTTAAATGCCGTAAGAAATACATCATCTGCTGAGCCTTTTTGACGATGGAGTTGATTGTTTCCCACTTCAGATCCCTGAAGAAGAAGAAGAAGAAGAAGAAGAAAATATTATTTCTATAGCGCCTCTCAAGATAAAAATCACGAGGCGCTTCACAAAAACAAAAAATAAAAAAATTTGTAAAAATATAAAACAGCATTTCCAAAATGTTTAAAATATATTTAAAATGAGGTAAAATATGCAATTGCGATTTAAAAGAAAAAATGTTAAGAAAGAGAGTGAATAGGAAAGAGGGAAATCAGTGGATCCTGAATAAGTGGTGAGAGCAGAATAAAGAGAGAGAGGTGAAGAAGGTCATCCAAAAGCCAGCTTGAACAAGTGAGTCTTCAGCTGCTTTTTAAAGGAGACCACTGAGTCCACTGATCTCAGGCTCAGGGGGAGAGAGGTCCAGAGTCTCGGGGCCACAGCAGCAGATGATCTGTCACCTTTGACCTTTAGCCTGGTGCTGCACAACCAGTAGGCTTTGATTACTGGACCTCAGGGACCTGCTGGGGGTGTAGGGACTAAGAAGATCACCAATGTAAGATGGTGCTTGTCCATGTAAGGCCCTATAGACCAGAACCAGGATCTTGAAATGAACCCTGAAGTTGACTGGCAGCCAGTGAAGCTGGAGGAGAAGCGGGGTGATGTGGGTGTGTTTGGAGGACTTGGTCAAAAGCCGAGCACAGGCGTTCTGAACCACCTGTAGACGGTTCAGGGAGGTTCTGCTCAGACACGTGAAAAGAGAGTTACAGTAGTCTAAGCGTGAGGAGATGAAGGTGTGGAGAACTGTCTCAAGTTCAGAGCGGGACAGAATGGGACTCAGCTCAGCAACGTTCCTGAGATGGAAGAAGGAAGAGCCAACAAGAGAACTGACATGAGAATCCAGGGTGAGAGCTGGGTCAAAGGTCACGCCAAGATTCCTGACGGAAGGTTTGGTGTGGGAAGCAAGCTGACCAAGAGAGTCTCTGATTTTGGGAACCAGCTTGTCTGGGGTACAGATGAGGATCTCAGTCTTATCTTCATTCAGCTGAAGAAAGCTCCCACCATCCAGGTTTTGATAGAGTCTAAGCAGGTGTGTAACAGCTGCAGCTTAGACATCTCATGGGGCTTAAAGGAGATGTACAGTTGGATGTCATCTGCATAAAGATGGTAGGAGATTCCTTTGAAGGAGCTCAGGATGTGCTGAAGAGGAAGCAGACAGAGGAGGAAAAGCAGAGGCCCCAGCACAGAACCTTGTGGGACGGCTGTGCAGAGACCTTTGAAGGGGCGGGTGCTCAATTTTAAAAAGGGGCACACAGAATAATATTTTCAAACAGCATGACATAACCACAGTATACCTGGCTTAATAACAATTCATATTTATTAGAAATTCAAAATGGAAGCGAATCATTATATACACCATAAGGACAATGTAAAGCAAAAGTAACTTGTTTAGGTAAATGGTCTGTATTTGTATAATGCCTTCTTAGGGTTCTACAACCCCCCAAGGCACATTACAACACAATCAGTCATTCACACACACACATTAACACACTGATGGTGATGAGCTATGATGTAGCCATAGCTGCTCTGGAGCGCACTGACAGAGGTGAAGCTGCTGAGCACAGGCGCAACTAGTCCCTCCGACCACCACCAGCAGGCAAAGCAGGTCAAGTGTCTTGCCCAAGGACACAACAGCATCAATCTCTGATTGAAGTCAGGATCAAACCTGCAACGTTCCGATTACTGGACAACCTGCTCCACCTCCTGATCCATTGCTGTCCTATTTTACCTGATGATGGGGCACAATGTAGCTGTTGCAGGGTTGCTCCTCTTGCTGCTGCTGATGATGCTGGAGGGCAAGGCTGTGTTGATCTCAGACTGCAGGGAGTATAACGAGCAGAGGAGAAATGTTAGTCAATTACAAAATTAATGTAAGATAATAAAAAATGGCAAAAATTGGTGAAAACTCTTAGAACTGTAAGACAGAAATATCTGAGACAAAACCTGTGGTGAATAAATGGAAATCTAAACATTAGTGGATAATAGAGGAGTTTATGTCAGAGATAAGAATGTGACAGTAATATAAACAGAAAGAGTTGTGTGTGTCTTCAATCTCCTCATGTGATCTATCACTCTCCACTTGCTGTCCATCTGAGGACAAGGCAAAATTAGCTATTGTATGAATGAATTATGTAGTTATTCACATTTAACAGGTCTTGCACCTAATCCATGATCAAGAGACTAACAAAAAACATTTTCTGGCATCAAAACATTGCAGTTGTGTATATTATTGTTTCTACACTTGTTGCTGTGATGCAACTTACCTGTACTCTTTTTTTTATCCAGCTGGTGAGGGACCCACTGCCTTTAGCTGCCTCATGTAGCTCTTTCTGTCGCTGCTTCCGCCTCCTGTCCTTACGAAGCATGTCTGTACAATGATATATCATAATTAATTTACAAATATGTTTTCATGCATATAAACCTCATGCATACACATACTGGGACATTTCATTCCTTTTCCAGAAAACTAACTGTATATAATTTGGCCACAAATTTGCTTCATGATGCTGATCCAGAATATTTCCATAATATTTTAATCATAGTGCTTTAGTAATTATAATAAAAATAAAGAATAAAACAATATGTTTATGCTTTCATTCAGTTTTACTATCTACTTTGTGCAAAACAGAGAACTGTACAGATACAATAATTTTGCTGTGAAAACAGTAGTTTTTTTTAAATGTACATCTTTAAAACATAATGTTTTTAATACAATGCATTCAAAAAGAGAGCGAATATAAACTCCAAATTTTGAGAATATGCATAGTATTAGTGAACTAAAAAACCCACCAGAAGGGCTGAGAAACCTTAAAATCTAAAACAAAACTATGTTCCCTAAAACGCTGGACAGAATTTACAGACAAGGACTGAATATTTAGTAACACAAAACTTGTGACGGATGTTACCTTTAGTATTTTTCTTATTTCCTTTCACAAAAGGTAGCTAAATTTTAAATTTGTTCAAGTTCTATTAGTCCGCAAACCAGGAAGTGATTGTGTAAACAAGAAGCAGTGCTGTGTGAGACCCCAGTCACGTGACACGCAGCAGCAATAGGAATGCAACTTTGCGGTACCTAGTTAACAACAATGACATTTTATTGGCAAATTCCCAATATTTAAGATTGAAAAAATATTTTCGTACAAGTACTTATGTACAAAATGTTTTTGGTTAATCCTAAAGTTACTGAGGTTCAGAATCGGTACCCAGCCACAGACACACACCCAGCTAGTAATATATCACACACCTAGTGCCACAAAACAACTTAATAATGTACAAAATAATCTAATAACTGTGTATAGTAGTGTGCATCCTACTTACCGGTGTTAGTCCGTTTCTCCCAATCAATATGTATGTCCTAAAAGCTCTGCACCACTCGCTCGGCCATGAAGAAAATGTGGGTGCTTGCTTGCAGCTTGTTGTGACCGGCTGTGCGCTCTGGCGTGAGGAAGAGACGGAATGGTCACGTGACTCACGCCAGCCATATAACATTATTAAACAGAAATTTTATTAATTATTATTTTTGTTATTCTTGAGGGGGCACAAACAGAAAATTCTTTAAAAAAAATATATATATATAAAAAAAATCATTAAACCTCAAAAAGGGCACTTTGGGCACATGGGAGAAAAGGGGCAGGGTCTCAAGCACCCTCCGCCCCCCCCCCCCTCTGCACGTGCCTGTGGGACACCATGGGTAAGAGAGGTGGTGGAGGACCTAAACTTGGAGACGGCCACAGAAAAGGAGCGCTCAGAGAGATAAGAGGAGAACCACTCCAGAGCAGATCCTGATAGGCCTACCCCGTCTCTCAGCCTCTCCAGTAGCAGGTGATGGTCAACAGTGTCA